CTCAAGGTATCGACAGTGGCCGTACTCTATGCGCGGACCGCGTACGGCCGCGCCTGCGAGGAAGCAGCAAAAGCAGAGTGCCGGAGCCTCGGGTTGACGTTCGTCAGCAAAGAGTTCTCCGAAGATGAATCGACCCGCGAAGAGTCGATCCGGGAGGCCGTGCAAAGTCTGAGCAGCAGCGGGGCCAAGGCAGTGCTAGTTCTCACTTTGGGAACGAACCTTGGCCTCGTCGTGGAGACTGCGCTGAACACCAGTCTGCTCCGACCCGGTACGTCGTGGGTGGAGTAGGAGGAGGAGGAGGGGGGAGGAGGTAGGGTGTGGGTGGTGAGAACGGCGGAGGGGTCTGGGTTGCTGCGGCTTAGGGTGTGGGCTTGACGGCTCGCGCGCACAGTGGAACTCGTCGAGAGCGCCCCCGGCGTAGAGCTTGTCGACGAACTTTGAGACGGTGGCGCGGTCGTACTTTGCGACGTAGTGCGAGACGTACGCGCAAACCTGTGCGGCGGCGGGGGCGGGGGTGTCGGCTCGGCTGGTCTGCCGGCGTGCAGAAGGTCTGGCGTTGAGTGCGTCATGCTGCCCCTCCACCTCCCTCCTTCCCCTGACATACGCGCGTCTCCCGCTCTCTCTCCACGCACACACCTTGATTGCGCCGTCGGCATGCGTGCGGATCACCTCTGCGCCTCCGAAGAGCGTCGAGCCAGAGTTGGTGAAGTCGTCGGCCAGGAGGACAAAGGTGCCTGCGGGGGGCAGGTGCGAGGCCAGCTCTCACCGCAAGCTTCCCAACCCCGCCGGCAGGGAGGGCGGAGGCGCCGGGAGGGAAGTTTGACGTCTTCGGGTGCTCGGCGCCCGCCGCGTCGACAAAGGAGAAGCTCTTCGCCTACCCGCCCGAAGTGCCGCCGAGGTGCCGCCGAGGTGCCGCCGAGGTGCAGCCGAAGTGCCGCCGAGGTGCCACCCGAGACGCCGCCGAGGTGCAGCCGAGGTGCCGCCGAGATGCGTCCGAGGTGCAGCCGAGGTGCAGCCGAGGTTCAGCCGAGGTGCCGCCGAGGTGCCGCCGAGGTGCCGCCGAGGTGCCGCCGAGATGCGTCCGAGGTGCAGCCGAGGTTCAGCCGAGGTTCAGCCGAGGTGCCGCCGAGGTGCCGCCGAGGTGCCACCCGAGACGCCGCCGAGATGCCGCCGAGATTGGCCTCCCCGCCACGTCGCGAGGGGTGGAGAGGGGCGAGTGCAGGCGGGGGAGGGAGGCTGTGGCCCGGAGGAGAGAGGGAGGTGGTGGGCCCGGGGGGGGGGCGGGAGAGCGAAGAGGAGGAGTGACCTGCACGATGTCCGCGCCTGGGGGCGGAGGGGGTGGGGGAGGGGTGGGTGGGAGGGGTGGGTGAGAGGGGTGAGAGGGGTGGGAGGAGGGGAGCGCGTCGGAAAGGGCGGGTGGCCCGGCGGGGCAGGGAGGGGCGTAGGGGTGCGGAGGTGCGGGAAAGGGAGGAAGGAGAGAGGGGAGGGGGGAGGAGGCGCGGGAGGTGGGGCGGGAGGTTGGCACGGCACCGACTCGCGTCTTGTCGATCCAGAGGATGTTTTCGTACCTGCGGGCGGGGCTCCGAGCCCGGCTGCGTGAGGCGGCTCGAGGAGGGGCGGCGAGGGCCGGAGGGGGGTGGTCCCGCACTGGATGCCGGGGATGCAGCGGTGCACCATCTGGTAGAAGCGGCGGTGGGCGCCGTGGTCCGGGAAGACGATGAAGGCGCGGCGAGGGTCCTCCTGCACGCGTGGCTGGAGCACCTGCGGGAAGGGGCGCGTCCACGCCGCTAGGAAGGGGCGCACGGCGCGATCGCGGGCGCTGCCACGGCGCAGCGCGGGGCGGGCGTGTCGGGCGGCGGGCGGCGGGCCGTGGAGAGGAAGCGGTCGAAGGGCGAGGCGAAGTACGTCCCGAGCCCGCGCACGTAGTCGTACTCGCGCCGCCTGGAGGCGTGTCTCGGAGGCGTCTCGGAGGCGTGTCTCGGAGGTGTCTCGCAGGTGTCTCGGAGGTGTCTCGGAGGCGGTGTCGCGCGTTTCGCGTGCCCTCGAGTGCCATGCGGCCGTCTGAATCGTGTTTATGTGTGCATGCCATGTGTGTGTTCGGCTCTCTCTCTCTCTCTCTCTCTCTCTCTCTCTCTCTCTCTCTCTCTCTCTCTCTCTCTCTCTCTCTCTCTCTCGCTCGCTCGCTCGCTCGCTCGCTCGCTCGCTCGCTCCCTCTCTCCCTCCCTCCCTCTCTCCCTCCCTCCCTCCCACTGTCGCTTTTCTCTCTCTCTCCCTCTCTCTCCCTCTCTCCCTCTCTCTCTCCCTCTCTCTCTCTGCGCGCCGGTTGGCCCAGCGGCCGGTCGAGTTGAGGGTCGCCTGATCACCGCTTCTCTCCGTGATTGGCCACGCAACATCCCAGGCGGCCGCTCGAGCCGACACCTCGCCTCGAGGTCTTCGTACTCGTGAATGTCGAGCAGCAGCAGCTGCTGCGGCGGCGGCGGCGCTGCGCAGCCGGCGGGAGGCGGCAGCGGCAGCGCGGAGAGCATCGCGGCAAAGGACTGGCAGGTGGGCACGTCCACAAACTCGCCGTCCGGCTTGCCTACGCGGGACGTGTCCTGGACGTGTCCTGGACGTGTCCCGGACGTCCTCCTGGCTCGCCGTCCGGCGCGCCGTTGTCCCACTTGCCGGTGGTGACGGTCCAGCGGGAGGTGCGCTCCATCTGGCAGTGCCGGTACCACGGCACGACGATCGTCAGCGACGCGACCGAGCACGAATCGTACGCGCCTGGCCGACGCGGCGCGGAGGTGCGCATCATGGTCGCGTCACTGTCGCTGTCACTGTCGCGTCACTGTCGTGTCACTGTCGCAGACGCGTACCTCCGACGCGGCATGCGCGCGCCATGCCAGCGTGCGATGGGCGGTGGCGGTGCGAGCGCAGTGGAGCCAGGGGCGTAAGAGGGCGGCCAGATCGGAGGCGTGAGTCCAGCGGCCGAGGAGTGTCTCGGAAGTGTCTCAGAAGGCGCGCCGTCAGCCATCGTCTGCTTCCACTTGCCGCGCGCGTACTGCTCCTTGGCGTGGGGCACGTTGAACCGCTGGAGGAAGAGGATGACCGCGAGCTGCTCGAACAGGAAGATCGTGTCGTGGTTCATCAGCAGCACCACGTGCCGGTCGCGGATCAGGTCGACGCGCAGCTTGATGTTTGGGTCGCCCGACGGGAAGCGCTCCCATGCGAGGCCCGTCTCGTCGATCGAGCCGCCGCTGAAGATGTCGTCGGTGCACAGCACCGGCAGATTGTCGCCGAGGTTCTCTGCCAAGCCGAGCGCCATCTTTGCGAGGCCCGGCGGGTAGAGCACCGTGTACTCGCCGTGCCCGATCGGCAGCTGCCGTTCGGTTCGCCGCTTTGACACCTTTTCCTGCCACTTGAGATCGCTTCTGGTGCCCTGGCGGGTGAGGGTTTGTGACGACATTCTCGGGTCGGCTTGCAGGGCTGAGCGGATCGGGCGGGTCGCTCAACGGAGTGCCCGGTTCCCGCACAGGGTTTTTGCTCTTCGAGGTTCTCGAGGTGGATATCCTTTGGGCGCGTTGGGTAGCGAGGATTGGTGTGACGCGATCCACGCAGGCGTGTTTTCTGGCGGCCGACCGTCAGTGCACGGAGTTGCCCCTTCTCCGACTGCCCCGGCTAGTTCCCGAGTTTCGCGGGAGTGACCCCATGCGTCAAACCCGAGACCTAGCGCGGGTGGGTTGGAGGGGGCTCGCCCCGTTCCTCCCCATCGGGCCGCGTGGGCGGCCACGCCTCGCAGATTCGTTTTCGCGCCTGGGTCAGGCGCGCGGGGCATCCCCCGGGTCGCTCGACCAGCGATCCGAAGAGTGGCCGCTATGCGAAGGAAAGAGCGGGGCCCTCGACGCCTCAGTCCGGCCCTCCGAGGGGGGAAGGGAAGTGCGGGGTCCCCACGGGCGCCTCAGTTCGGCCCTCCCGAGGGGGGGAGGGGAGCAAGGGGGTGGGGGGATCAGGGCGGGGAGGAGGGGTCTCAGATTTCGTGGGTCTAATACTTGCCTTTCGGGGAGGGGCCTCAGTTACGGAGTGCCGGCTTGTTCGCAAAGGGTTTTCTGCTTTGAAGAAAGGGCCGCCCTCGACTTCAAGGGGCTGCCTTCCATCCGTAGCTGCCCGGGCCGGGAGAGGGGGGGGGCCTCCTGTTCCCCGCGGAACACGAGAAGGCCCCTCCTTGCCCGGTTTGCGATGCAGGGCGGTCGTGCCATCTTCGCTTCGTACTCGAAATCTCGAATCCACCACGCCGCAACCGTCGCCGGCGCGCGACACGTTCCCGTAGGCCGGACTGTCCTCGTCGAGAGTGTGTGCCGCCATTTAGCCCACGCGCCTCTGCTCGCAAACACTCACCCATTGAATTGTCACTGCCCGTGAGTGCGAGATAGGGCTAGCAGTAGGCAGCTAGCCTCTGAGGAGGGCGTCCATAGACACCTCACAAGACCCCACACACGGTCTTGTCCGTGCCTTGCGGCCGGCGAGATTGCTAGAGGTGGAGCAAGCCTGCTCTAGTCTCACATGTTACTTCCTGTTGTCTGTTGTGTTGTTGTGCCCTTGTTTGTTCCTTTGGCACCTTGGAGTGCTGGGGAGGGCGACAGGGAGGATGTGGCCTTGAGTTATGTGTACGCCAACTCAGGGTGTGTGGCAGCCAGCTGGCTGTGTGTCTTGTGAGCCTGTTTGTGTCTGTGTGTCGCTCGTGCGTGTCGTCATCACATCTGTCCAGCGTCCACCCATACCGCGTTGGTGTCCAGTCCGAGCCTGGCTGTTCTTCACCTTACTACATACATACAACAACAACAACATGACATGTACATGTGTGTGTGCATGTGTGTGTGTGTGTGTGTGTTCATGGAGGCAACCGATGCGAGTCGACTGGTGTGTGTCGTCGTGGTTTCGTATCAAGAATACTCACACTCACTCACACGCTAGTCGAGGTAAGGGGAATCGTCAGAAGAATGGCGAGCGAGGCTCGGAAAGTCGGAAACAACCGAGCTGGACTGCGCTCGTGAGTCGTGTGCGCCTCCTTCTTTCTACTCCATCCATGCCTGACCGTGCTCGACACGCTACTCTGCTCCGGCTGCTGCATGCAGGAACTACGCCGACTGCAGTCTGGTACAAAAGCGCCGTCTGCAGTCTTAACGACCCGTACAACTACCTGCGAGAGGTGGAATCGGAGAGAGAGAGAGGTGTGTGGAATCGGCGGTCTCGGGCACCGTACCCAAAAGCACAATGTACTACCACAAAGCACCACTAGCGATTTCGCGCGGAGGGCGTAGTGAAGCGCTGGGGCGCTCACTGTGTGTTATTCGGGTGGGGATCCATCAGTGGTAACCGGCTTTAGTCACAGGTCCAAGCTCAGACGCCACACCAACACCACAAACACGCTCACTTCGCCGCTGCTGTAGATGGGCCCCCGGGGGCCCATACTCCGTCGAAGCACAGACCCGATCTCGGCACTCACGGGTTGCCACGCGCCCGCGCGCGGCGCGGGCCGCACCGCCCATGCCCCCGGGTCACCGACCCCGCCTCTCGGCCCTCTCGGCCCTCAGGAGCGTGCGGGAGACCGGCGAGGGGCGCGCCGCGCGCCGCCTGCAGAGCCGCCAGAGGCATTGCCGCCTCCGCTGGCGGGGTTCCCGCGCGCGCCCGCCCGCGCCCGCGCCCGCCCACGCCGCGCCCGTGGGCTCCGGATGCGCCGCCCTCCTTCTCCTTCTTCTCGATGGCAGTCCGCACCTGCTTGTCGACGGGTCGGCGGCGTGATCGAGGGGAAGGTCGCCGGCGGCCGCAACTCCGCCGCCGTCGCTCCGCCGGCTCTGATCGAGTATCGGGCGTTGAGGGCGGCGGCGCAAGCGGGTCTGACGCATCCATCGCCACGAGCCTCGCGACCGCGGTCGTGGCACACCTGGCGGCGGCTCTCGGGGCCGTCTCTACGGCGCTCGACGCCGTGTGAGGTCGCCGGCGGCCGCAACTCTGCCGCCGTCGCTCCGCCGGCTCAACCGAGTATCGGGCGTTGAGGACGGCGGCGCAAAGTGGGTCTGGTGCGCCACACGGTCACAACCCTTGCCACCGCCCTTGCCGCCGCCCTTGCCACCCTTTGCCGCCTTGCCTCCGCCGCGGGCGGCGGTGGGAGCGGCCTGCTGGGCTAGCATGTTGTCCTTGCTGGGGACGGGCACGTGGAACGCACGTTACATGTTTGAACGGCCTCCAGAATTCAAACAAAAAATAGCCAAGGCTCTCTCGCAACCCCTCCGACCCCCCGGGACCCGTGGGCGTCGAAGAGGCGCTCTCGGGGGGCCGTTCTGAGTTCATACTACCTCGACGCACACTTGTACTGCGTCAAAGCACCGGCCCTGAGTCCGATCGGCGATACCTCTTCCCCATCCATCGTCCTTCCTTCCGCAAGCAACTCCCCGGCGAACCGCTAGACGACTGACATCGCTGCCTTCCGCGCAGCGCAATCGTGATCGGGTATGCGTGCTCACGCAGGCTGTGTCGTAGACGCCCCCACCCTAGCCCCCACCCCACAGGTATGCGCGAGGCTGCCCTAGAGAAGACAAGAACCTCACCATCTGGTGGGTGGCGTGGGCGAGATCGGCGAGGCCGGGCTCGCTCACATCACCACAAGGGCTGCGAGGAGGAAAGACGTCCCCCCACAGTGTCCCCTCTGTCAAGCCCCGCCCCCGCCGGTTCTGTTCCAGCCCCACTCAAACATACAAACCAAAGGAGGGATGGGAGGACGGCACGCCGCCACCACACAGGGATTTCACGGTGGCGGCAGGCGCGCAGTTTGCCCCGCCCTTGCGGCTTTTCGTGGCTTTGGGAATGTTCCCGTTGCTGCTCTGCTGCAGCCTCCAGTCGCGGTGCGGCCTCCGCACTCTCGGCGTTCGCCTCTCGCCCTGCTGCAGCATCCGTGCCCATCTCTGGCAGCCGATCGCCGAGCGCCTCCTCAAAACATGCGAGAATCTCGTCGCTCCGAAGGCCGAGCACGTCGTCGGCAGCGCGGGTGCTCGCCCGCACGGCCGCCGTCCGTCGGTCGAGGTCTCGTCTTAGTTCTGGCAGCGTGCGCCGGCCTGCTCCCACGCTGGCCACGCATCATGCTGCGCTACGAGCAATCGCGTAACGGAGGCTCGCGGCTTTTCTGGCGTGGCTTTTGACGGCTTGGCTTCTCCAGGTCAGCTTTTTTTTCCGGCCGCCTCCAGGGCGCCTCCAGGTCTCTTCGCCGTTCAGAATCCGCCCTACCTTGCGTGCGCCATGCGTGCGCTCGACGACGACATGCACGCGCAGATTCTCCGCCACCTTCACGCCAGGTCCTCCAAGAACGCGGCGGCCGTCAACCAGCGCTGGCTTGCCCTCTCCCAGGAGGAGTGGCGTCGCCGCGCCCGCGACTGCGTTGCGGCAGAGGGTCTTGACTGGAAGCCCTCGCTCGCAAAGGAGATTGAGCATTTCGAGAACTGCGAAGACGGCGATCGGACAGGCTGGAAGGATCACAAGAAGGCGGTCCGCGAGCTCCCTTTTGTGCTTGGCCTCTACCCGGCGCCGTCCGCAGCCATGTGGGCCTTTACAAAGCCTACGGCCGGCGGCGCCGATCAGGTTTACCTCGACACCTTGGGCGCGGAACGCAACGACGGCACCTGGGGCTGCAACGAGTCGGTTTGCTCGTATGGCAACGACTCGAACTGGAACCGAGGGTTCTGTTGGGGAGTCATGGCCTTCGACGCGGATGAGGAGCGGTCGGTGGGCTGCTACCCCGTTCCCGAGCGGCCCGCCGACGTCCTCGACACGTCAGCGATCGTCTCGCAGTACCCACTACCGCTGAGCAAGCTTGGGCACGGCACGGCCTTCCTCGGCTCCAAGATCGCTGTGTACAACAGCGGCCTCGGCGAACGGAAGCCCATTCCGTACTGCATCGGCGGGCGCCTGCTTCGCATGGCGAGCGGCAGCTCCGAGGAGGGGGTGATGGTGTCACTCGGCTTCTTGCGCAATCCGAGCGTCGCGGAGAGCGACTACGCGAGCGAGGCTCGCTGGTGCCGACTTCCAACCGTCAACGAGCACGAGAAGTGCCAGGTCTTCTCCGCCGCCATTGTGCCGGTCGTCGAGGAGGAGGACGACGAGCACGAGGGCGAGGACGAAGACAGCGTCTCCGGCTCGGATTCGAATGAGGAGGCGACCGAGGGCTGCGTCATCAGCTGAGCTCACATCACAGCCCCGTCGTGCGCGCCCTTCGAGCGACAGCGACAGCGACAGCGACCGCGACCGCGTGGACAGCGACGACGAAAAAGCGCAGACGCTCGCCCGTCGCGTCGGCTGGGGACCAAATCTTTCGTTCACATCCATTGGCATCGCGGACTCCAAACGGCCACTCTCGGTCGGCGAGCGAGGCTGACATTTACGTGCACTTCTCTTTTTCGCGCCGTGCTAAAATTCTTT